TCCCTCCTGGATGTGCATACCCTCCTCAGAACCCTCTACCCCGTAGTAGGCAGGCAGGAAGGAGGGAGCCAAGTGCACCTCCTTGTGGTGGCCTTTGGGGGGACGTGGGGTCAGGAAGGGAGCTCATCCTCTGGTGATTGCCCAATGTCAGCTGAAGAGCTGTAAGCAACAGAAACTCAACTCAGCTTGGCTTAGGCAAAAAGGGGAGTTTATTGGCTCATGGACCTGAATGGCTTCAGGTAAGATTGTGTTTGGTCATCTCTTGCTGTGCAACAAACATGTCCCAAATTTAGCAGCGCAATTGAGTATCGTCTTTCAAGTTCTGCAGGCTGACTGGACTAAGCCAGGCAGTTCTCGGGTGGGGCTTTCAGCAGCTGCAGTCCCAGCGGCCAAGACTGGAGTCATTTGAAGGCTCACCTGTGCAGGATGCCCAAGATGGCTTTCTTCACTCACCTTCTGGCCCCTCTGTGCTCCTCTGGGTGGTTTCTTTCTCCAACAGCATAGCCTGGACTTCTTCCACGTTGGCGTAGGGCTCCCAGAGGCAGAAGGCAGAGGCTGCTGGACAATAAATGACTGCGCCTGGAACTTGGCCAATGTCACTTCTGCTGTCCCTCTTGGTCAAGTCAGGCAGAGGGCAGATGGAGGAATTGGTTCTGGTCTTGATGAAGAGTGGGCAAGGTCACGGCATGAAAGTAGAGAGGATGGGAGATATTGTGGCTTCTTTGGGAAGTACAATCTGCCACAGGCTGGGTCCAAGTGTTCAAATCATGTCCTCAGAACTTTGTGTCTCTCCATTGCTCTGGCTCCATTCTCAAGAAGGCTTCCCAGGTGTGAGAGCCACGGTGGTCCAGAAGCTGCGGGTTGCCGTTTGATCAGCTGAGCCTGGACCATCAGTGTGATTGCTGTTGGCCCAGCCAGGGTTAGCCTGGGGTGAGTGGTCAGCCCCTCCTGAAACAGAGGAAATGAGAACGGAAGGCTGGTCCTCCCAGGGAAGGTGGGGCTCCTGGTGTGGGAGGAAGGATGCCTGGCATCGATAACCCCTGCAGGTGGCCCTGCCCTCTCTGACTTGCTCCTCCTTGGTCCACCTTGAATCAGGAAGATGCAGGAGACGGTGCTGAGGCTGTGGGCTGGGAAGAGCTGCTCTCCCACCATGAAAGCTTCCCGCTCACCCCTGCAGCTGCCTCCCCGCCCACCACAGAGACAGAGAGGACAGCGCAGCAACGAGACTGCCTCGCTTGGCCCCGGTCTTTATAGTGCATTTTTTTCCCTCTCTGGAATTCTTGCAAATCTTTTTTGTCTAATTCAGTGAATGAGCCCTCCCCCAAACAACACTGTCTCCCAGGGAAGGGTACTACAGCACAGTGATTACACGTGCAGGCTCCAGAGCCAGACCGCCTGGTTCAAATCCTGACTCTGTCACTAGCTGTGTGGCTTTGGACAAGTTACTTTACCTCTCTGTGCTTTGGTTTTCTCACCTGTAAAATGGGGACAATAATGATACCTACCTTGTAGGGTCATTGGGAGGATTAAAAGAATTAATACGTGTAAAATCTTAGACCAGGCAGCCTTGCTCATTGCAAGTTCTCAGTAAATGCCAGGAATCATGCTTTTCTTTATAAAGTCTTCTTTATAGAGTAAGGAAATTAATTTCCTAACTGTTAAATGTATTACAAATATTTTTCTCCTGGATTGTCATTTGTCTTTTGACTTTGTTATGGTAAATTTTTTGCCTGGCAGAATTTTATAATATTTATGCACTCAAATTTATCCATCTTTTCTTGTGACATCTGGATGCTTTTCTTTTCTTTTTTTGTATTGTTGAGAAAGACCTTTTCTCACTTTATTTTTTGGATGGATTAGGATTTACTGCTCATAAGAAGAAAAAGTATCCCATTGGTTTGTCAATATTGTGATTATTTCTTTTTCCTTCAGATTTTTTCTTCTTTGTATTAATGATCCCAAGTGCATGAAGCAAAGTTTCTGAAAATGCTGATATTAGAAGGTTCATTGTGAGTCTTTTAAGACTCTAAGAAGATGTAAACTGACATTTAAATATAAACTATTCCCCAGGTGGAAGCAATTATTTTGCAGGTTGAATTAATGAAAATGAAAAGCTTGACTTATAAACACCACTGTTTGCCTTCCATCTCCCCTTACCTAACACCAAATTGAAGGTTTTATTTTTACTTTTCTTCCTGGACAGAAAGACACTTGGCCAGGACAGGATGGAGTGGAAGGAATTTTTAAACACGAAAGTGTTTGGAAAAAACTGACTTCCATGAATCCTACTGGGAATTTGTTTCATAACCAAAGTTTCACAACGCACTGTGTTGGTTTCCCTGTGAAATTGGTTGTTTCTGAGAGTGGAGAGCACAGCGGGAGGGCTGGGGGGTTTATTCTGGATGCTGGGCCACCATGGCGCACAGCAGACAGGAGTGGTGGGGACGATCCAGCCTTTGAGTCCCCTCAATTGGCCACCTGTACAGGGAGTGGGCTCGGGAGAAGGACAGTACAGGAGCATCCTTCTGTTGTGGTGACCCACACCACAGGGCACTTGCGAGGACTTTTTGCTTTCCTCAGTGGCCCTAAGAACATAGCCCCTGTGACTTGGGATTTGACTCTGGAGCCTCACAGAGCTCAAGAAAGGTCCAGACCCCTTCCATTGTTTTGAGTTTCCTCTCATATTAAAAAAAAATGGAGCCAGCCCTGGTGGCCTAGTGGTTAAAGTTCGGTGTACTGCTTTGGTGGCCCGGGGTTCAATTCCCGGGCACAGAACCACACTACCCGTCTGTCAGTAGCCATGTTTTGGTGGCGGCTCACGTAGAAGAACTGGAAGGACTTACAACTAGAGTATACAGCTATGTACTGCGGCTTTGGGGAGGAAAGAAAAAAATGGAGAAATTCCACACCAGGTTTATAAAATTATGCTATGTTTTACATGCTTATATTAATCATTTTAGGGCTTTGAAGCCACAAAAGTATAATGTAATGTAATTGTCACAGTTATATTGTCACAAGACATTTGAACAACTTGTAACAAATATGTGGATTCATAAGGCATTACAGTAGGATGGTTGGTGATGGGACACAAGTTTATACTTGATGACAAATGTCTTCTTCTAATTCAGTGACTCTCTAAGACTGTGTCCATAATCACATTTGAAGATAAGGTCCAAAATCTAAATTTGGTGCCATTTATATAAATAAGGCCCAGGGCAAACGGCCCTCCACCTCTCCCCGCCCCCCCATCGTGGGCCTGTTCTGATCCGCTCCGGGCACCTCTCCCAGCAACACTGAAGCTCTCTCACCACGGGGCCCGGGCCAGGTTAGGAGGGCGGAGGCAGCTGGATTTATTTCCAGCTTTCACATACTGAGTCCAGGCAGGTTGCTGGCTTAACACACACACACGTGTGTGCACGCGTTCTTATACACACAAAGGCACACGCAATTTACTCACATGCAAAGAAAGGGTAAATGTGAGTGGAATCGGAGAGGCAGAACTGAGGCAATGGGCTCCAAAGGGATGAGGAGCAGCCTAAAATCCAGCCGTGCCTCCAGGCAGGTCTGGTCATTGTCGTCCCTCACTGAGGAGCCAGACACCAGGCCTGCAGGGTGATCGTGGGGCGGGGTCAGAGCTGGCCTGTTCTTCACCCTCCCTCTGCTTCCAGGGACGGAGACACATCAGCCACAGGCCAGCTCGATCATGCTGACGTTTGAGCCAGACCGTGTGTCCACATGGAGCACCACCCTTGCCCCAGTGCGGGGCTGGGCTCAGGGCTTATTAAGAATCTGCAGGCTGGGTGTCTCAAAAGAAACTTTAGCTGCCGGGGCCTCTGTGCGCCCCACTCTTCCTCTGTTGGAAATGAAGTCGTAGATATCAAAACCCTTAAACGTAGGCTTCCTGTTTGACTAGAAATTCCCTGCTGGGAATTTATCCTAAAGGCATATGATCTGAGATGTGCAAAAAGGTTAAGCTTCCAATTGTGTTGGAAAATAAAAAGTTGAAGGAAACCTTAAGACCTGGCAACAGGGAGTTGTTGTTTAAAGAAAAAGTATGGTACCTGTTTAGAATGTGACACTGCAGACATAAAAAATGACGACATAAAAGTGTATTTATGGACATCGGAGGAAGTTCATGATGTAGTAAGTTTTTAAAAAATGTGGTTTATAAACCAGTATGCATGAGTTGGTTCCTTCCTTTGTAAAATATACCGATAGAAGCGGTTTTGGAAGGAGCTTCTGTAAGGACGCCTCAGTACGAGGAAGAAAAACAGAACAGTGTCTGTTACTTACATTTGCAGAATGGTGTACGTTATTTACATTTGTGGGCTCTGGGGTCAGACTGCTCGAGTTTGAATCTAATCTTAATCAGTCACTAGTTTAGTGACCTTGGGCGTACTGGCCTGAGTTTCTTCACCTGCATGCTGGGGATGATAACAGGGTTTCTGTAATATTTAAGAGGAGATAATTCATTTAAAACTCCTGGAAAAGTGCCTGGTACTTAGTGAGCTCTTAATAAACATTACCTATTATTATTGTCTATATTTTCTGACTTGAACATACATTGTCTCTAGAATGAGAAAAAAATTGCTTTTTATTTATTTATTTTGTTTTTTTTAAACAGTTTTATTTATTTATTTATTTATTTAATTTTTTTGTGAGGAAGATCAGCCCTGAGCTAACATCTATTGCCAATCCTCCTCCTTTTTTTCCCCAAAGCCCCAGTAGACAGTTGTATGTCATAGCTGCACATCTTTCTAGTTGCTGTATGTGGGACACGGCCTCAGCATGGCCGGAGAAGTGGTGCGTCGGTGCGCACCCGGGATCCGAACCCGGGCCGCCAGTAGCAGAGCGCACGCACTTAACCGCTAAGCCACGGGGCCCGCCCCCAAAATTGCTTTTTTAATGAAAAATAAAGAACAAAGAGAACAGCCTGCGTCTGAGAACTGGAGTCCCTCTGCTTGTCACTGATAATGACCCAGCGCCTTCCCTTTCCTCAGGGGTCACGTTTTCTTTCTTCTGGAAGACACAAGGAGAGCAGTCCAGACCGATCCCTTCTGCTTACGGCGGACAGGTCATCTCCGACGGGTTCAAAGTCTGCTCCAGCGGCGGCAGGGGCTCGGTGGAGCTGTACACGCGGGACAATTCCATGACGTGGGAGGCCTCCTTCAGCCCTCCAGGTGAGGCGCCTTCCCCGCGGTCCGCGGGAGAGGCCAGAGGAGCGAGGCCCGCCTGACGGCGGGAGCTGACGGACCAACAGAGAGAGGCGCTCAAGGCCCTGTGGCATCCTGGTGTCCGAGCGCCCTTCTTGAGGGGGTGGCTGGGGGAGACACTGGAAAGGGCTAGAGCGCCTCCGGGGCTGAGACGGCTCAGCAAGGCGGGTAAGAGCCCAGGTCACGCAGCCGGACGCCTGGGTTCCACCCGACCACAGACTGACTGTGTGACCGCATCGGGGTACTTGATGCGTGCGCCTCGGGTTCTGCACCTGCGCAGTGGAGACGCCTAGCAGTGCGCTCACAGCTGGGGACCAATGGAGTATCGTGTGCACGGGGCTGGCTGTTTCTCCCGCGCCCTCTCCTTCTTCTTCTGCCTCCTCCTGTCACCCTTGTTCTCCTCCTCCCTTCCCCTGTCCTCCCCCTCCCCATCTTTCTTCTCCTTCTCCTTTTTGCTGCTGTAGACTGGAAAATGTTTGAAGTACGATGTGCACAAGCTTTCGGAAAAGAGAGGCTGGGGGTTGAGGGGAGAAGGTGGCTGGAGGAGAGGAGTGTGGAGCGCTGGGCAGGACACAGGACACGCTTCCCAGGAGGGGCTCTGGGGCAAGCGGGGAGAGGACCGGCACGTGCAGGTGTGGCTGCGTTTCCAGGTGGGAGTGGTGAGGCCAGCGTGGTTCTGTCTGGGCTTCCTGCTTTCTCTGGGGTGTCGGGTGATCGGTTGGCCCCCCGGGCAGGAGGTCAGAGGTGTGGGGCAGGAAGCTGGGGGGCTGGGGAGGTCTGCAGTGGAAACAGGAGGAGGCTGAGAGACAACGGGGACCCAGAGGGTCTCGGGCAGCACTGAGGGGCCCCAGTGAAGGCGGGAGACTCAGAAGAGAAGTGCGGAGGTGGAGGGGGCAGGATGAAGGCCCACAATGGTTTCCAACAGGAGGAAATGACATCTTTGACATATTTAAGGAAAATTCATTTTCTGGCCCATTTAAAGGCGGCTGCGTGTCTCCCTTGTTAAAATACATGGACTCTGGAGCCAACCGCGTGGGTCAAGCCCCTCTCTGTACCGTGCTGGCTGTGTGAGCCCGGTGCCTTACCCGCTCTGTGATTCAGTGTCCTCAGTCGTGATGTGAGGATGGTCACAGTGTTATGTCATAGAGTGACGGTGAGAATTGAGTTAACACACACGAAGAGCCTGGAATGTGGTGCGCGGTGAACCCTGAATGTGCCTGCCTTCTTCTGTGGGTGCTGCGTGCCGGGACCAGGCTCGTCTCTCCACTTCTGTAAGAGTGAAGAATTTAGTGCATTTACGGTTTGAGGGAATCCTGCCTATTTGCCTTCTCTGATCCCCAAGGCTGGGACTAATCTTTGCCTCTGCCCCCCCGAACTGCCTGGACCTGGTTCACGGGTCTTATCAGGTTCTACCTGCTCTCAGTTTCTTATGTACGAGTCTAATCTCCATGCCCCTTGGGGCTGACACAGCCTCAGGCACGTAGTAAGTTTCCTGAACATGAAGTCAGCGGAATTCTGCCTGTTTTTCTACCCAGGGAAGTGGGGAGAACTGTAAACATTTCTGCCTGGCAATATTCTTTTTATTTGTTCATCGAAGGGATTTGTTATTCTTGCTTTAAACTCAAGGGCCATGAAACTTTGGACCTATTTGGGATCCGAGTCCTCTCCAGAGACTCAAAATTAGAAAGTTTCGCAACCCTGAGCAAGAAGCCCTGATGTCATTGTTGTGGTTTAAGACAACTGCCCGGCACGAGAGCGGCACGAGACCATGCGTGTCCAGAAAGGGCAGCCGCGTGCCTTCCCGCAGCAGGTCCATCAGGGTGTCTTAACAAAACACTTGAAAACAAAGTGGGTTCCTTTGTGGGGCACGCCTTGAGAGTCTGATGAAGATTCTTTTTCTTGGCAGACAGGGTTCTCATGCCAGAGAGGCGAGTAACCACAAAAGCTCATTGATGGAGGCTCCCGAATGAGCCAGGAGATGGTCTTGCCTGCCACAGTGCCACCACGCTGGTTAATGTCACTTGCTCCTGGTCAAAGCAGAGGTTGATGCGGTATCCTGTGGACCTCAGACAGCTTTTACTGACCTGCACTGTGGTGGCCTAGGCAGGAGTAAAAAGAATATTTTTGGACACATTATGACTATTAGTTATTATTCTATTTTAATTTAACATAGCAAAGGGTCTAATTTAAAATAACAAAGGGTTTCTTTGAGCTGCTTTTGGAATTTGGGGGATGGGGGTAATTTCTTTCTGGTGCTCCAAAGGACAGAAGAAAGTCAGATCTATATTATGACCTGTAATAGGACCCACCAAGGTTGACAGTGACCAGTCATCTTAAGAAAGAGGGCTGTGCTTAAAAACTGGAATAAATGCATGGGGAGCTCATTTGCACAGCACTCAGAATGGTGACCTTTGCTCTTTCCCAGGCCCCTACTGGACTCATGTCCTGTTTACGTGGAAATCCAAGGAGGGTCTGAAAGTCTACGTCAATGGGACTCTGAGCACCTCCGACCCAAGTGGAAAAGTGTCTCATGCCTACGGGGAGCCCAACGTCAACCTTGTGATAGGGTCCGAGCAGGACCCGACCAAGCGCTATGAGAATGGAGCTTTTGACGAGTTCATCATCTGGGAGCGGGCCCTGACTCCAGAGGAGATTACGATGTACTTCACAGCGGCCGTCGGTCAGTGAGAGGGTGAGGGGCTGTGGGCGGGTGTGACGTCTGTTTCTAGGAGGCACCTTCGTATCCACCTCCCCTTCCCAGCATTCCTCTTCTCCCCTCTCTCCCAATACAGCAGTCAGCACTGCAGGCTGAGACGTGTCCTCATGAATTTTACAGACACAGTCATTTTCCTAGAACACCTGTTCCCTAAGATGGAGGAATGGACAACTTAGCAGAGACACAGTGAGATTAATATCCTCCTGCTGGTCACCCGGGGGTTTTCGATGTGGGTGTGATGGATGATCAGAGAAAGCTTTGAGAAGCAAATATTCCAGATCCACTAGTGCATTTGATCAACAAATGTTTACTGAGTGCCTCCCGCACGCCAGACTCACTGTGGGCCCTCGGAGAGCCCCAAGGCCACCCCCTTCCTGCTCAGCACAGAGCAGTTGTTCAGATCAGGGACCTGAGGGACCTGGGTTCAAATCTTCACTCAACCACAATGAGCCATGGGACTTGGGAAGTCGCTTTTTTTAATTGAGGTAAAATTCATACATCATAAGCTTAACCATTTTAAAGTGTGCAATTTGGTGGTACTTACTGTGTCCACAATGTTGTGCATCCATCACCTCCAGTTTTAAAACATTCTTATCACCCCAAAAAGAAACCCAGCACCCATGAGCAGTCACCCCCCATCCCCGCGTCCCCCTGCCCCCAGCAACCACTGATTTACTTTCTGTCTCTATGGATTTACCTATTCCGGATAGTCCATATCAATGGAATCATGTAACATTGGGACCCTTTGCGTCTTAATCTCTCCAAATCACAGTTTTCTCCTCTGTAAAATGAAGGAAAATCACACTGCCCTGTCCTGGGGGTGCTGTGAAGACTGAACATGACAAGGGTGAGGACCGTTAGCACGAGGCCTGCACATGGCAGGTTTTCAATACATTTTCGCTGTTTTAAAATTAGTATTTACATTTCCTTCACAATTCCATTTTCATTCTGCCCACAAGTGAATGCTCTGTTTCTTTATTTTTACTTGAAATAATCTGCTGAATAATGAGAGTCCCCACGTAGGCACCTCGTAAACATTTCCTGGCTGGCTGCTGCGCTGGCACCAGAGCCGCAGGGGGAGTTCAGGACGGGAGGTGGAAGGCTCGGGCTCTGAACCCCGGCCTGCACGGGCTCAGGCTCTGACACGGAGTCCCTCAGCTGTGAGGAGCCTAGTGATCGTGTGACAAAAAACCCAGCTCAAAATGACTTAAGCCAAGAAGGGAATTTTTTTTATCTCGCACAATGGAAACAATAAGGGAGAATCTGCTTCAGAACTGGTTTGATCCAGGAGCTCAAATGATGCAACTAGGAATCTATTTCTGACTCTGTCCTTCGAGTTAGCTTTCTTGTGGTGCCAGGTTGGCTGCCCTTCCCTCCGGGGTTACGTCCTCATCCTCCGGCAACCTCAGCAGAAAACAGGGAGCTTCTCTTTTCTGTCAGCTCCTTCGACAGGGCTGGCCACGACTCTTACTGGCCCAAATGGATCCCTGTGTTTCCCTTGAGCCACTTACTGTGGCCGGGGGTGTAGACTACGCTGATGGGCTTAAGCCTGGGTCACACTCCACCCTGAAATGGCAGTGGGGTCAGCCTCGTCCAGAGTACATGGAGAGGGGACGTCCCAAAGGATGCCAGGAGGCTGGTCTTGAAGTAGGGGAGGAGCCGCCGTGCACGCAGAAACAGCCCACGTCCATCGCAGCCTTGGCATTTCCATCTGTCACCGAGAGAGCGGAATTCCTCCCTTTCACAGAAGGGCCATAAGGACAAAATATGGTGTCCTTTAGAAGAAAAAAGGGTATCAGTCTACTGCGTTTTAGTGCCTAGGAGTCAGAGAATGGTCTCTGAGACCAAGATGTCATCCGTATTTGTGTCATTGAAAGCCTCCAGCAGATCCTGCCTTCCTGATGGGTTCCTGTTTTAGTAACACTGGAGAAAGGTGTTGCTGTTTCTTGTTCTTGTAGCTGTCACAGCAAACCCTTGTCACTAGGACAACTCTGGGCTCAGGGATGCGGAGCGTCGTCCTCCCCACGGTGCAGCGATTCAGGAAGGCTCAGCTACTGAATCGCGTGTGTGCAGTTCACCTCGCCCTCCATGCTCAGTGAAGATGATGTCCGTTCTTTGGGTATTCAGGAGAGGTGTTCTGTTAACATTTCTGCATCCTGAGAGCGCATGCCCTGCACCTTTGCTGACCCAGAACAGGACCCATCAGAATCCCGTGTCACTTGGGGATTTGGTTCTGAAGACGGTGCATGATGTAAAGCACGCATAGGAAAAATGACCCGGGAAGTCCCCTGGAAGGCCCTGGGGCTCCACGTCCCGTTGCTCAGTTAGTCTCACTCCACGGGTTAGGGCAACTGTGTGCAGACAGACAAATGGGGTGCCATCCAGCCTGCTCTCAGACCCGGCCGGGGCCCCAATGGGCTGTGTCCACAGGAGGAGGGAGAACCTGTTCTGGGCATAGAGATCTGTCTGCACATGAATATGTGTGCTGGAACAGCACGTGCCCAGGGGGCGTTTCTCTGAGTGACCTGTCCAGGAGGGTGCCCTCTTCTAACCCCACTAGCTAGAGCAGGCCTATTTTCTGACCTGTCTGTCCAGATGTGGGACCTTTTCTAATTCCCACAAAGACAGCATTGATCACCTATCACCCTGGCCGGGTTTTGCCCCAGCCTACGATGGGTGGCCCTCTTCTGTAGAGGACCAGAGGAAGTAGGCGGCTGTGTCAGAGTCACCTGATTGGAAAGCGTTTATCTTTGAACACAAGAAGCACACTCAGCACAGCTGGATGCTCACACGGTGAGAGTCACTTGGGAACGAGACCGACCAAGGACACAGCAGATTCTCATTTCTCATCTTGGTCTCATGTGGCAGGGTGGCCGGACTCACTTTTATCATCCTTTGCTTTATTTTGTGGATTTACATAAGTTAAACGTGAGTTTGGTGTGACTCCTGTGTAACCCCTGGCACTTGAGGAATGACTGTCACCCTGACTTGGGAACAGAGTGTTCGGGGCTCCAGTTCTCCCAACTGTGTCACATCTTCTGCATCCACCAGCTACCAGCTCCCCCACCCACCCAACTAATGGGTCAGTTCCTCCTGGGCTAACTAGGGGTGAGGAGGTCATTCCTCAGGTCACCCCGAGCAACCCTGAGGGATTTAGTGTCTGGGTAAGTCTATCCTCATCGAGGGTAAAGTCTAAGATCAGAAATAGCTGGTGGCAAACAGGCGGAGAGCAGCAAACCATGGCTTAATCTTTGGTCTTTGGTATCTTCATTATTCCATATTCATTATTCATAATTAACCAAGTGGAGTCTTGAAGAGAAAGAATAACTAGAATCCTCAGGGTGGGAGGGGCCCAGGAGGATAGCCCCCCACTTCCCTGGGGTCCCCTCTCACGTCGTCTCTCCAGGAGGGAAGTCCCTCGTCTCCTGTTTGTCCTCACCCCGTGACGAACAGCACCCTGCGTTTCTTCTCTAACTAGTCCAGATGCATTTGAAGTCTGTTTCTTTTGGTTCTTTCTTGTTTGAAATCGGTCAAAGCTTGTATAAAATCATCTTTTTATATGATGACCTGCAGCAAGGAGGTTCAAAGGCAATTTAGGATATAAATGGAAAAATAATTTGACCTGGGAAAATCCCTCCAATCTCCCCATTAAACTGATTTATTAGCCCTTTATCGTTCCAGCAACATTCTTACCTGAAACATTCTCAGGCTCTCTGAGATGCGTCTGAAGCTGGTCGAGTTTTGGGCAAGGACAGGCCTTCCTTAGGGGAAAGAGGTGATCCTGTTTCAGTCCTTCATTAAGCATTACTCTTTTTTTCCAGGAAAGCATGTTTTGTTGTCTTCAACCCCAGCAGGCTTCCTCACGACAGCCACGGCAGACCCCATGGTGAGCAGACGCCTTTATCTGTTGCCCCCTCTCGTCGACGTCTTTTTGCTGGGACTGAGTGCCAGGAGAGGTGAAACTCCGTCAGACGGTCTGGCTCCTCTTGCTGGCCGTATAATGTCTGGGAAGAAACCATAAATGGAGGAGAAACTCAGTTTGGTGCTAATTCTTGACGCTAAGGGTGGCTGAAGAAAAGATCCTCTGCCTCGTAGCCTGTAACTCGGTGCCTAAAAGGAGTGAACAAGGCGGCTTAGGGACAGAGGGGCACCGAGACGGCTTCCTGGGGCGGTGGGCACAGTGTGGGGAGCGCAAGCAGAAGTTGGCCTGCACGCTCGGCGTCTCTTTGTGCCCTGTCTTCCCATGTTTGAGGAAAGCCTCAATTCCTATAGGAAACGTCCCCCCATAGGAAACAGGAAACGGAATTAGTGTTTGTAATCAAACCGCGTTCCTCACGTGGGAACTTGAACGTAACAGTGAGCGCACAGACTCTTGGACCGTCTGCCTGGGTTCCAATCCCAGTGCTGCCGCTGATTTCTGTGTCAGCCTCTCCGTGCTTGGTTTCATCGACCAAACGGGTCCATATTTCCTGAGGCGGTTGTGAGGGTGAAGTGTTAATAGATGTAAAATAGTCACAAAAGGGCCGGGTTCCCGGTAGGTGCTACTGTCATTGCGTGTCATTGTGGAATAAGAAGCGTTAGGCCGAGAGGACGCGGTGAACTCGTGTACAATATCGTGGCTTCAGTTCTCAGCAGCAACTCACGTGGCTGATTTCTCTTAGGTGCCCACCGACGCCTACCATCCCATCATAACCAACTTGACAGAGGAGAGGAAAAACTTCCAGAGTGCTGGAATTGTACTGACTTACCTTCAGAACGTGTCCCTCAGCTTACCCAATAAATCCCTCTCGGGGGAGACGGCGCTGAACCTCACCGAGGTAAAGCTCTTTGATTTGTGCCTGGTGGGTTGGGGAGGGCCACCTGCTGGCCCGTGGCCCACAGGTGTGTTTTGTTTGACCTACACAGAGTTTTTAAAATACGAGGAACTTTTAGATAAAAATCTGGATTTCAGGTTTCTCCTGAACAACCAGATGGTGTGGCCACTCCAGCCGGCTCCACACAGCTCAGTGGTGCCTCCTTCAGACGAGACACAAGTCTTCATTTCATTTTCCCAACACCCACCGGCCTGGCCTGTCTCCACATCTGCCTGGCCCCCGAAGGCATTTGGGTTTGCAACTCCTGGTCTGCACTCTGCTGCTTTCCTTGGCAACAGGGCCAAGATGGAGTTGGGTCACATGGTGTGAGCCCAACCACTGGTCCTCTGGAGTGGCCCTGTGTGGAGGCACCTGCCTCCGGGTGTCCTGGAGAGGAATCATACAGGTTACCCCAATCCCACGATCTCTGATTTAATGGTAAATACAAATCCCTGGCATCCATTATCCAATCTGCCACCATGTCCTGGCTTCTCGCCACTAGCAGCTGGAAGGGAAAATGCCAAGAGGTTGTTTCCTGTGCTGGGTGATAAGGTGGCCCCTAGCCACGTGAGACTCTTGCGCACTTGGACTGTGACTAGTCCACACCAAGAGGTGCTGTGAGTGTAAAATACATACAAATTAATAATTTTTACACTGGTTACATGTTGAGATGATAGTATTTTAAATACATTGGGCTAAGTAAAATATATTATTAAAATTAATTTCACTTCTTTTCTTTGTTCTTTTTAAAATATGACCACTAGAAAATGTAAAATTACAAGTGTGCCTGGCATCATATTTCCACTCAACTGAACTGCTCTAGGTCAGGAGTCAGCAAACTACGGCCCTCAGGCCAAATCTGGCCCACTGCCTGTTTTTATAAATAAAGTTTTATTGGAATATGCTTGCTTGTTCGTTTACATATTGTCTCTGGCTGCTTTTGCACTCCGGTGGCGGAGTTGAGTGTTTGTGATAGAACAGTATGGCTTGTAAAGCCTGAACTCTTTATTAGGGTACACTTTAAAAGGAATTGCTGACCCCTGCTCTAGATTGTAAAGTGCCCACTAGACTTCAAGCTCACTGAGGGCAGGGAGAGGGACTGTTTTGTTCATCCTTGATTCTTAAGGCCTTGCACTATAGAGTCTTAGTAAGTATTTATCAAATAAACATAAATGAAAGAGTGAGGTGTTTTGATGATGTATTATCTAAATATTTAGTGTCTAAAAGTGTGAGGAAGAATGTGATCTTTCTGGAGATGACAGTTTGGTGGAAATATGGGAGGTTTAGATCAGGCTCTAAGTTTAATTCTGGTGTCTATAGTAGGAGACAAACAGTTAAAAGCCTGTATGAGCCATGTAAATGAGTGAAACAGACCAAGTGTGAGGCAATAGGGAGTGGTGAGGACCAGGGTGAACTGGGGAACACATACCCACCTAAGGGGCAGCTGCTGTTCAGCTTTGATCAATGGTGGCCATGTGGGAATGTGGGCTAGGGGTTGTCCAAGCTTTCACTTCTTTCAAAAGAAGCAGGAAAATTACATATTTTCATTTAAATCTCCCAATTTGAAATTTTTTGTTTGTTTTTTTGTGAGGAAGATCAGCCCTTAGCTAACATCCATGCTGATCCTCCTCTTTTTGCTGAGGAAGACTGGTCCTGAGCTAAGATCCGTGCCGATCTTCCTCCACTTTATATGGGATGCCGCCACAGCATGGCCTGACAAGTGGTGCTTCAGTGCCCGCCCGGGATCCAAACCCGGGCCGCCAGCAGCGGAGCACGCGCACTTAACCACTACACCATGGGGCCAGCCCCAATTTGAAAATTTTAGAAGCTAGTTTCATTTTTTTAGAACAATAATAGTGAGCCAAACCAAACATGGTTTTAAGGAGATTTGACCAAGGGACCTGGAGTAAGTTCCGCTTTAATGAGAGGTAATTTCCAATTAAAACAAGTGGTTTATGTCACCTTGGCTTCTCATCCCAAGAGAAGCATATTCAGAAGGTCACGATTTCTTCATTCATTCACTCATTCACTCAACAGGCATTTACTGAGGGCCTATTATATCTCCCAGGCACTGTGCGTAGGGCTTCTGCTGAAACTAAGCTGTGTTCATTCTGACATCTAAACGCTTATCCCTGACTAAAGGGTTGTCACAGGGAGCAAATAAGATAACATTGATTAAAGGGCTTTGTAAAATGTAACCCGATACACTAATGTGAGCTATTTTTGTTTACTGCTATATGTAAAACTCAGCCGTTGATAAAGATGGGGAAAATCGAAGGTCTTAAGGTTTTGAGGCTTAAGGATCCATGCTAAGCAGTGTCATTTTGTTTGCCTTTAGACCTTCTTAAAATCCGTGGGAGAGGTTCTTCAACTGCCCAGTTGGACTAGTGTGTCAGAGGTAAGAAGAAAAGAACATATTGATCTTCAAAATGTATGTACCTTGGGAACCATTTTGTCTTCCTGGAAGTGGCATAAATATGTCAGAGAAATGACGCATCTCTCAGTCCTGTAATCTGGGATGATGGAGCTCATTTTGACTGAGTGTACGGCTGGCTTGAAATGCCTTGTCTTCTGTAAGATTCAAGAGTTATGTGAGCGTCGGTAACACGTCGCTGTCCTCAGCACTGAGCCGGGAGATGGGTGGATTTCTTTATGAGGAATGGACACCTCCTTGGCCTTTATTTATCATTTTAATAGTACATTTTTTCCCATCACATTGTTCTTAAATGGTAATAAAAAACATGTATAAGGTTTAAAGATAACTAAATAAGCGAAAAAGTAGAACACGTGACAATATGTACTTCATGATTATAAGTGTAAAAAACAAAAAAACTTCTCTTTTTCTCTGAACTCCAAATAATTAGAAAGGAGAGTGGAATAATTTTTCTTTTTAAAACTAACTTTATTGATTTTACTTATTTAAAAAATAAAACAAACAAATATGTTGTGAAGTTAGAAAATCATAAAATATATATAAAATAAAAATCACCTGAAATCCTAAGATTGAGAGATAATGACTGTTAACACTCTTGTATATATTCCTTACAATCTAGTTTTCAATTCACTTATATGCGTATATAGTCTACAAATATACTGCTTATCTGATTTAACCTGTTTTTCCTCAGTTATGTCAAGAACTCCTCCAATGGTGTGACGTATTCCTCCACAGAGCCGTGTTAGTCAGCACAGGCCAGGTGGTGCGGCAGTAGCAAGTAGACCCCTGCATCTCAGGGCTCAGCACAGGAGAAATATCCTTCTCACTCACGCGAAGTTCAGTGGGTCAGAGGAGCCCCTGCTCAACCCGGTGTCTCTGGGATCTTGGCTCTGTCCATTTTCTGATGCTGCCATCTCGAGAGGCGACTTCCAAGGTTGCCGACAGGGATGGAGAAGGGCAAGGAGGCTCTTAATTGCTGTAATTTCAAAGTGTTCATTCTCCTGAACGCTTATAATGTTTAAAAAATTTGCCAGTTGGAGGCAGAAAGGACATCTCATTCTCTTGTTATTAATGAGATTGCTCTAAGGTTTACATTTGATGAACTTCTTATTTGAACAGTTTCAAATGGAATGAGATTCAAATGGAATCTCTTAACATTGGCAAAGGGAGGAAAAAAGTGTCATGAATTTAAGATTGATATAATCTTACCCAGCAACAAATTCCTTTTTAAAAGGCACACCCTCCAGAGTTCATGATTCCAGGGGGATGTGAGTGCCGGGCTACAGCCTGGGAGTCCCCTGGAGGGCGGCCAGTGGAGGACCTGAGCAGACGTATTTTCTGCACCATTTTAAATTAACTGTTTCTGAATGCTCTGCCACAAAATTAGGATAATCATGAAACGATTCAGACTTAGGCAGGCCCTAGTATGCATTCAAGAGAAGGTATGAATCAGCCACTGCCCAACAGAACTGCACGCCAGAAACACAGGTTTTCAGGAGCTTAACTGTGCTGGGTGACTGAAATCAGGGCATAGGCCTGAAAGAAAATGTCTGAAATTGGCCTCAGTTTTCTATTTCCAGCTCATTAGGTTCTCATGGAGTGTGTGCTTGTGAGAGGATGTGAGGACCCTTAGCTGCAGACAGATGCTTTTTCAGGAAGGGGGAAAGGGCAGAAGGGGGGTGACGGCAGAGGTGAACAGCCACTCTGCTCCTGGGGATTGAGAGAGGACCTCTCCTGGAGGTGTGTGTGACGATGAGGGACAGTCAGTCCCATCTGAGCTGGCTGCAGAGATACAGGCTGACCAGGAGGGACCTCTGCCTTCTTGGGGGCAGTGTCCACAGGGATCCTCTCTGCCTTGGGGACTCAGAATGAGTGAAGTCGGCCCTCGGAGGGGAGGGACATGCCAGGCAAGTCAAGGAGGCCAGAGATGCCTTGTGGTGCTGGCACCTCGGAAGCATCCTGCCCCTTCCCGGGAAATAGGATGGAACTGCTGGTGTCCCCATCCCGAGGGGACTTGGGGCGGTTAGCCCCCTGCTCGTGAAACAGAAGGGGGCGGGGTGGCGGACAGGTCAGAGACTTGCCGAGGTCCCAGAGTGGAACTGCTAACTCTCTGTCACCCTGTGTCTGAGCATAGACACCTTGGAACTGATGGCCTGGGTGACTTGGGTTGACCTTGGCTGGAGTCCACCTTCCGAGAGCTCGCTGGGCACCTCAGTGGTCACCTCCATGTCTGTGAAATGGGGTAGTGGTGTGACTCTCTCTCCTGCTCCTTCTCATCGGGTGGGTGTGAGGACAGAGCCTCTCCTGCGATGACTCCCAGCGGACCCTGGTGTCCTTCCTTTGGAGGGATGCTGACAGAGCGAGTGTGAAGCTGGATTTTGTGTGTTTGATGCATCGTCTCGAGCGATTGCTGAGCAGGCTGGATTTTCATGGCTCCTTCATGTTGTGTTGTTTCCAGGACAGCGCTGTGGTGCTGGGCTTGATTGGAACTGTCGACACCGTCATGGGCCACATATCTTCCAACCTGCATGCCAGCGAGCCCCAGGTCACCATCATAGGCTCTTCCTCCACGGCAGGTAGCTCGGCAGCGTCGCTTGGGGGGTGTGCGCCAGCCGTGCAGGCAGCAGAGGCAGGAAGCCGGGGAGCACAGCCATTTGTTGGATTTTGCTCCACTCCGGCCCTGCGTTCTCTCGCGACACACAAATCAACGTGGTGCCTCACACACCGTTAGCTCAGATAAACCTGTCTGTTTTCCTAAACTGTGTTGCTTTATGCAAAATTACATTTGGGAGGAAGACAGAGTTAGAATCAGGGCGGATGTGTTCAGCCATGATGTGTACAGAGGTCCATGTGAGCATTTGATGGCAACTTGGGGGCCAATTCATCTTGTGCAACCAACGTTTCAGTTCAGAACAGGAGTCGAGAAGCAGCAGCTCCTTCAAGTGTCTGTGGGGTGAAAGGTGCAAAACCAGGTTTCTTAGAGTTAGCTGGAGGCTTGGCCCACATCGCTTCCGAGATGACTGTCATACAGTCTCGTACAGGCAGACATCACGGCCCTTCGCTTTCAGAAGTCTGGATCTAGGAGCACTGTAATACTCCTGCTTTACCACAAGGGCCAGACTCTGGAAAATCAGCTTCAGCTGACCCACAGACGTTAGTTTTAGTGGGGTCCCCGTGCCGTGACGCATTCTCCTGGTGTCTAGAAGACTAGTGTTAGGTGTTTCATTTTCCTGTGTCTCTTGGGGTCCCCGGGGCTTGGAGAGGCAGCCCCCCTCGGCACACGGGGTCACCGCACGATTGAACGCAGGCAGGCAGTAACTGAGGCATTGAGGGCTGAGGGCTGCTGTCAGGGAAGGAGGGTCACCTCAGGCCGAGAGTCCCCACTGTGTGTGGCCGGATGGACGTGAGACCCGCGTGGTTGCAGTTCCTTCCCTGGACTCTTGTTTTTTCAGGTCCTTGTTTTCCGAAGGTAATTACAGTCTCCAGGGGAGCTTGTTCTGTTAGAAAAAGCCAAAGCAGATGGGGTTTTACAGCCCGAATTCCTGGGCCATGCAGTTTACTGACGAGCTTCCTCTCTCTGGCTTGCTCTCAGAGTTCTCGGTGGCCAAACTCCTGCCCAAGACCATGAATTCCTCCCACTACCGCTTCCCGGCCCAGGGGCAGAGCTACATTGAGATTCCGCATGAGGCTTTCCGCAGCCCAGGTGAGTGCAGCTGCAGACCCGGCAGCCCAGGACCCTCTGGCTGGGGAGGGAGGGACTCACGGCTCCTTCTCAGGAGCCCTCGGCCAGCGGCTGCCCAGCTGAGGTGCTGCCCACCGGCCCCTTACCTGTTCCTGTGGGAGCGGCTCTGGGCCAGGTTTCTGTCCTCGGGAACACGGTGCATCATCGGATGTTCACTCATAATGCTGATTCCAAGCCCACTCCAGCCTACTCAACTGGATCAGCCTGGGAATAGGCATTTTAGACAGGCCCTCCGGGTGATTCTGGTTCACCACGAAGGACATGGTGTGTCGCCCCCAAGTCTGCACAGCTCCTCATTAGCCAAATATGAATAGATGTGGCCATCTCCCCTCCCACCCCAGGGTGGCCTCAGGTCAGGGGGTTTGTCTGCTGAGGGGCCCCAGGTTCTACTCCCTTGCAGTTTGAAGTCAAGTTTTGTAACGAATGAGCAGCCAAGGGGACCCCGATTACTCTCTCTGACTCCAGGAGCACCACCAGAGGCCCAGGTGGCTCTGGCTATTTTTGCCACAGTGACTGTCACCCTGGTCCCTTGAAAAGTGAATGTGCCCCGAGTGCCCCTCACTTTCTTCTCCCCTGAGGAGCTGCCCCCAGTGCTCGGGTGTGAGGGTCTGCACTGCGCACTGCCGGGCTGGGGGCCTTGGGTTTCTCCTGCTTGTCACTGGGCATGTTGACAGGCGCCCCCGACCCTCTGCTTTCCCCAGGCTGGACCATCATCGTGGGCCTTCTCTACCACAGAATGCACTATTACTTGAACAACATCCCACCAGCCAATACCAAGTGAGTCTCTCGGGGTCACACAGCATGGAGTGGGAGTGGGCGTGTATGTGCTTGTTTGCTGGGGGGCTGACCACTGTGACGCCCCCACCTCCCCGCCATCATAGCCATATGCAACATCGTATTGGGGAACTTGCCATGCCAACACCTGGTGCTTCGCTATTAGAGCAAGGAGCTGCCACCGCCCCTTGAAGACACGCAGGAACTCCTACACTGCGGGCTCAGTGAGCCCCAGGGACAGGCTGATAGTGCAGTGGTCAGGAGCACAGGCTGGGTGACTGTCTCAACCCGGCCTGGAAGTAACTGTGTGACCTGGGACAAGTGACTTAACCGCTCTGAGCCTCAGTTTCCACTTCTGTACAATGGGAAGACAGCAACACATGCCTACATTAGTCAGGACTGAGTTGGATACATCAGTTTAAGCAGAAGGCCAGGGGACTAAGGGCTCATGAGACTTAGAAGGGCAGGAGTATGTTGGCTTCAGGCACAACTGGACCCAGGCACCCAGAGGATGCCATCTAGGCCTGGTCTCTCTGTCTCCTACCTCTGCTCTTCTCTGTGATGGCTCATGTCCAGGCAGGCCTCTCCATACAGGCATGGCTGGCTCTGGTAGCTTCAGGCCCACGTGGGTTTGGATCCTAACATCTCAGAAGGAGAGCAATCCTTTTTCCTGAATGCACCCGTGAAAAGCCAGGGAGAGCTGCGATTGGCCCGCTTGGGTCATGTGCCCATCCTGGCCCCCCAATCATGGTGGCCAGAGGATCCTGCTCTCTCATTGGACAGGTCTGCTCACATGACATCCTGTGGAAAACCAGGGAGGGCTGTGATTGGCCCGCTTGGGTCATGTGCCCATCCTGGCCCCCCAATCGTGGTGGCCAGAGGATGCTGCTCTCTCATTGGCCAAGTGTGCCCACATGTGGGAACCAACGAGGTTGTTTCCTGTGGAAAACCCATCCTGGCCCCTAGTCATGGTGGTCAGAGGATCCTGCTGTCTCCTTGGCCAGGTCTGCTCATAGGATCCCCTCATACTTAGGGGTGGGTCAGCCCTACTCAGACCACAGGGAGGGGCTGGTTCCCCCAAGGAGAGGTTAGAGGAGGCAGAGATGTCATGGGAGGGCTCCACTCCTCCTCTTTCCTGGGGTCCCTGGCAGGGGGCAGGGAGGCAGAGCCAAGGCCCTGCAGAGGAAGTGCCAACAGGTGTGGGCCCGAGGGATGTGTCTCTGCAGTTAGAGTTTGAGGGTGAAGCCGTGTCTGACGGCAGCATATCTGCCCCCACTGGGGCTTTGCGGAGGGCAGCAGGAGGCTCTTGTCCATCTCTGTTCCCTGGCGGCTGGCACAGTGCCTGGCCCAGAGCAGGGGCTCGGAAAAGGTGCCTGGAGAGCGCAGCATCTCAGAAGGAGCCACACAGCACCTCCACCAGGGCCTTGAGGAGGCTCCGCTTCCCTCCCCTGCTGGGACTGAGCCTGGGAAAGCCGCTGGTATGAGGAAGGGCGTTCCTGCAAGTTCTGCAAGGAACTGCGGGGGTGAGTTCCAGATGCTGGCCCTGCAGCTGGGGCTTAGATTCATCCGTGATGGAAAGCAGGCAGCAGCATCTACTGCCTACAGATAGACGATAAATACCTTCTGATAGTGCAAATACCTGAGCCCTGATATCATGTGTTTCTCAGATGGCGCTCCTCTCCCGTCGCCGGGATGGCGGGGAACAGCTCCTGGTCCTAGACCTTTGGGGGGAGGGTGGAGCAGGGAAGAAGGCGGCGGTGGTACTGCTGTAGACCTGCAGGGAGAGCCGTCTTCTGGGTCCGCGTGCCCTGGGGAAGGCTGTGCTCGGACAAGTTCCCTGGTAACTACGGAAGGGGGGGCTTGTCGCTCTTTGTGCGGGAGTTCCAGAATTCTTCAGAGAAATCGTCAGAGGAAAATGAGATCTCTTTTCCTCTGAAAGATGCCTTCTCAACTATTTGGGGAAACTTTCTCCAAACCTGGGATTATGAATGAAAAATGGACCCATCCTTGGCCCTTCTGTGTTTATTCATAGCTCTCACTGCTGAAGATTCAGACTGAAATGGATTTTTCAGTGAAATACTTGAAATGTGTATTTATGAGGTGTAGCTGAGCCCTTCTGTGGGCCAGGGGTCAGAACGAGCAAGAGAATGGGGTTTGTACTACTATCTGCAGCTCCCCTTCCCCCTGAAAAAGAAAAGGCAGAGCTGCTGGTTACAGAGTCGGCACATGCACACGTTTCAGAGGATAATTCTTGGTGACCAAGTCGAATCAGGACTCAAGCCAGGTGGCAGCAAACGTTTTCATAAAGGGCCAGATAGTAAATATTTTCAGCTTAACAGGCCGTGATGTCTCTGTCACAACTACTTCCAGTCTGCTCTGGAAGCGTGCGAGCAGCCCCTGACAATATGTACAGGAATGGGAGTGGCTGTGTGCCAGTAAAACTTTATTTACAAAACCAGGCGGCTGACCAGGCCTCTACTTGCACAGCCCTGCTCCGCCCGCTTGGTGTCAGCGCTAGCAGCGGGCGGGGGAGAGGCCGCATGGGCCCTGCTTCGGGGAGTCCAAGGCCGCGCTGGAAGCCTGGCAGATGGGGCTCCGGTCCCTCTGTCCCAAGGGCTTCGGCCTTCCCCTCCCCTCCGCCGTCCTCACTGCCCAGGTGTCCACAGAGAGGACTCAGAAGCCTCAGGACCCAGTCACCCTGCTTGGCTCCCCCTTCTCCTGCAGATGGGGGGCTCTGCGACCGCACGGGCAGAAGTGCCCCCCTCACAGCTCCCTACCTGTTCGCCTTAACACCCAGTGACCTGTGAACTCTGTCAGCAGCCAATTTCAGTGCTCAGTTGTTTTCCTGAAGTCAAAACAGTTATTTTGCAATGATGAGGACATATTTTTCGTGTTGAATTTTCAGCTCAGGTGAAGTTCTCAAGTCAGCACTTAATGCAAAGGTGTCTTGTTGTCAACATTAACCTTGAAAAAAATCACCCACCCAGCTCATCAAGTACAGGCCCCGTATTTGTCGTGTTCACTTCTGCAGTGTAGACTAGGTCAGAGGAGGGCACGGGGTGGGCTGTACCAACAGTGCTGTGGTTAGCAGCACAGATTTGTGTGCCTGACTCCTGGCTCCCTTCTCCCGGTGGGCGCCCTTATCAGCTGTGTGAACCTGGCAAATGCCCGGTGGTCTCTGTGCCTGTGTTCTCGCCTCTAGAACAGGGGTGATGGCAGTACTGATTTCTGAGGGCGGCTGTGAGCACTGAGTGAGTTAATTGTTAAATCAAGCTTGGTGCCCTTGAAAGTCACATGTGAGTGCTTGCTTTTATCACTTCATAACATGATTGGATGTTCTCGCTGGTCTGCCTGTAAGATAATTATCAAATTCCACGCATGATTAGAAATAGATTAGTAGAATCACATGGGCGGGGTTCCCACTTGCCTTTACAGCCGACTTCCTTCCGTTTGAGTATCATGTACTGTAATCTTCGCACATCCTTGGTTCTTTGTGAGAGTGAAAGGACGCAGGAGAATCGTAATGTCCTTTACATCGCCCTGTGGGGGTGGAATCAGCATATGAATTTAATGCACGAAGAGGAGGGTGAGGGCTGGGTGAGCTCTCCATCTCCACGCCAAGCCCCGGGGAGACTGCTCCAGAGGCCCGAGTGATGACTGCCCGGGGGCGCCTCTGACTGGCCACAGGTCCTGGGGGATTAGCCTGTCCCTGCTAGGCTGCCTGGATGTGCTGCCTTCGAGTCTCGCTCTCTCTGGCCCCGTAACGATGGGGACTGTTCGGCTCTTATGGATGCTCACACTGTGCCAGGTGAGCAACTGGGGCAGCTGATTCCTTACCATGGGGCCGGGGTCGGAGTGGGCAGGGACAGTAGAGTCGCCTGCTCCCACTCCTCCTCCATAGACGGGTCCAGGCCCAGAGAAGGGACGGGGCTGCAAGGCCGCCGGCTGGCAGAGGCGGGGCTGTGACTCAGGTCTCTGGGTTTCAGCGTCTCGTTGACCGACTATCACGTGCTTCAGAAGGCTAAGTTCCCGGAGGTTTTGACTTGGCTTAAATGTCTGCACTTGTCATTCTTTATGGAGTAATGCCAGCCAATCGAGGCAGGAGGAAGGACAGTCAGAAAGTCACCATCTGCAGCTCTCATGTGGTCATGATTCGGGCAAAATCATCAGCGGACGTTAGCACCACAGGGTGAGGCATAGTCGGGGAAGGGTTATTCAGAGTTATTCATGCCGCCCCAAGGGTACTTGTTAATTACATGTGAGACAGGTACCCAAGCGTGGAGACAGGTGTCAGGTGGCACTTCAACCAACTGGTCACCCTCGACATCGTCAGCCGTGGACACATCGATGTCCTGTGTCGCCGATGTGGAGCAGGGGGAACAGTTAACACAGCCTGAGGGGTCATCCTGCCCCAGACCATGGCCTGAGGCTCCTTGTGAGCAAACAGTCACACAAATCTAAAGGCAGGCACGTTCTGGAAAACTTCGGTTTGGACCACTGAATGTCCACGCCAGGAAAGAAAAAGGAGCAGGGAAAGTTCCAAACGAGAGGAGACTGAGGAAATGTGGCGGGATCTTTCCCTTGGTCAGAAAGGAGCAGAGCTCTGAGGGACACGGTGGGGACAGTGGGACATCTGACTGTTAAATTCCTGAGCGCGACGAGTGCACGATGGCCATGTAGGCGGCAGTGTTTGTTTTCAGAAGGTACCTGTTAGTTAGGGGAAGATTGTCAGGATATACTTTCTAACTGTTCAGCAAAAAAGAAAGAGTGTGTGTGTATGTGTGTGTGTGTGTGTGTGTATAGAGTGTGAGTTTGCTGGGTAAAGCGAATGTGCCAAGATGGAAGGAGCTGGGAAACAGGTGAAGAGTGTAAGTGTGTTCACTGTAGTGCGTGTAGCAGATTTTCTGTCGGCTGGACTGTTTCACGAGACACAGTGAAAAGCACGGGTCCCAGCTCAGAGAGGGAGTGTCTTTCTTGCAGTTTCCTCTGGAAGGTCCTTGCTGCAGCACTTGATGCAGAGGACTCAGCTCTCTGAGCAGCGGGAGAGCCCATGGAAGTCGCCTTCCTTATCCTGGTGGATGTTCTGTCTGAATCCACCCGAGGCTGCGCGTCTCACTAGAGAATTCTATCAAGTCGCTCCAAGATCACCCTCATGGATGTCGTGATATGAAGCATCTCTCACAAGATTCCGAGTTTCCTTTGCGTGGTGTTCCAGGGTGCCGTGGACCCTCGCCTCTGACGGTCAGCGAGCGCGCCGCTCTCTGACAGACGGATGAGGATAGACCCCAGGGTTCAGCAGGAAGCTGTGGTCCGGTGGGAACTAGTTACAAAAGCAGCTCATTCACTAGGGAATATTTTCTTCTTTGATTTTTTTACTTGCCTACACAGCTTGGTTACCCGTGGGGACTTCATTGTACTCTACACAGTCTCTTCACACTGCCCCTTGTCCTGGTCCACGTGTGCTGACTTCTGCTGCCCGAGCGCCAGAGCTCAGCTCACATGTGCCGGGAAGTCCCAGTGTTTCCCTTGCAGATTTCAGGCCCCCCCGGTCTACCCCTCAGAGTCCTGTCGTCTGAAATCCTCTCTGTGTTTGACTGCAGGAGGGGATGACCAGCAGGGTGGTCTAGGCTCAGATGTGTTGAGATATGTGAAGATCGCCAAGCTTGACCTCGGCTCGTACCAGTCAGGTCCCCCAGGGGCCGGGTGGGTGATTTGGGGAAGTGTAATTAATCGAGGGGCTGTTGGCAAAGGTGTGGTCAGAGTGTGGGACAGTCAATCCCAAGTGGTAGACAGCCCAGTCTCCAAGTGTTACTGCTCCAGAGATAACAGATTTTTAAAAATCAGATCTGGGTCAGATTTATGAAAACAAAGTGAAACCCTTATTAACATTTAGGTATCAGAGAGATTGAATGAAATCATTAAAAAAAACCCCTTTTTATTATGAAAAATTTAAAGTTCTGTAAAAACAGGGAGATGGTCATCCCCCGGTTACAGCAGTTACTAACCGATGGCCGTCTGTGCTTTGTCCGTACATCCTGCTCCCTCGCCCGGGCCCCTCCGGTTATTTTGAGGCAAATCTCTGACAGCAAATAGTAGTTTAATCTGTAAATATTTAGTCTCTATTTTTAAAAGATAAAGACTCTTAAGAAATACAGAGTAACTACATGCCATTATCAGACCTGAAAAATAAACTGTGATTTCTTAGTCCATCTGATAGCTTGTGATTGTTGACTTGGGTGGGTTGTGCTGAGGCTGTGGGCCACTCCCGGCCAGAGACCCTGGCCTGGCACCAGGCGCCCTCTCTGCGGGGCCAACCCAGCCAGAAGTCAGGGCCTCACTTGTCTGCGCGGGACAAGTCTGAGTCACTGGAGACCATCAGTGTAAACCTGCCCGTATTTGGGAAATTGCTCTCTTTCAGAGTAAAAATGCCCCTAAGGAGGCCACGTAGTCCGTTGGCCTCGTCTTGATTTGGTGAGTCTGGTGGCAGTTCCCACTGAAATGCAGTGATTACCGAACCACGTCTGGTCGAATCCACGGGTTCCTGGTGTGGAATCCAGGAATCCACTCTGGCCTTGCTTTAGTCTGTGGATAGAAAGTTCTCCTTTAATTTTTTCCATATGTTTTCCTTATGACTTTGATCTAAGTCATCATTGTCTGCCTGTGAGTAGATTCATTCAGTCATTCATTCATCCATCCAACACACATTTATTGAGCCCCTCTCATGCGTCAGGCGTGGTTCTAGGAGCTGGGAGAGCAGAGAACAAAATGGAGAATCCAGGCCTGAGAGGGCTTACATTCCAGTGGGAGACGATGGCCAATAGGACCACTGTTAGAGGGAAAGGAGGAGGGAGTGACAAATGATGCTGACATTTAGGGTCTTATGCTCAGGGATCCGATTTTTTATGCTGGCTAATGTGATAGTCCTGATTTTTGCTAGAAAAATTATTTCTGTTTGGTGGCATGCATACACGATGAGTTCATGGAGCCCTGCAGAGGGAAATGTGACCCCGAGGTATTGGGACACCTGACACGGGTGAGAGTGGGTCTGGGCGGACATTGGGCTGAGCTAAGGAACCTCCTCACTCCCTGGAGTCTCTGGAATTGCTCTGCTGGTCGAGGTGGGCCAGGCCACTGGGGACCAGGCCTCTCTGTCTTGGACCTGATTTGGTCCCCGGTGACATCGAGCTGATGTTCACTCTCTATTGCAGTGGCCAAACCCCACGCATCCTCAGTGGGGTGACATCACCCCATGGGTGAAGATTGGTTTTGGGGGCAAAGAGTCTGAGATAGTACAATGGTTTGTGGCTCTGCAAAGAGGCACAGAACACAAGCAGATATACTGTATCTCTGCAGTATGGAAATTTCATGGGGGGCGTTGGTTAGGATAAAAATGTCTAAAAAGACTCTTTAGGGGGATATCATGAAAAAATGGTTGAGAAACGCTGAGTGATACTTTCTTTTCAGGGTTTTCTTTTCTTTTTAATTTGTGTGTCTTATTCCACGTGTGTCTTCTAGCTTTTGGTTTGGATCAACGAAATTTTCATTTAGAAGAATACTCAGAATAATCAGACTTAATGTGGTTAAAGGAGGCTTTCTGAGTTTACAGTGGCTCCTCGGGATTTCAACCTGGATGACACTCGCAGGCCTGAGAAATCAGTGACTGTTTTGCTGCAGCCCCAGGTACTGGGTGATGTTCTGTAGGAAATACCCTCTCGCTCCAATGAAGGCGCGGTTAGGGTATTATTTCTTTATGGTGTTAGGTTTGTAGACATTTCATATCTACCGTTCCAGGAATATTTCTGAGTGCTTCTGGGGGCCTACTTTTTTTCAGGGACACGTGTAAGGGGACTTTGTGCAGAGGCGTGGTGACAGGCTGCGTGGGCCCCATTGGCTCTTCCCCAGGACAGCATCACTGAATACAGTGTTAGAGTCTAGCGATTAGGTAAAACTAGTTGAGGGAGGAAGAGGATGGTGCACCCAGCTCCCAGAGACCTGTTAGATGCTATGAAGACGATTCTATGGGCATCCACACATGTAAGACGCAGAATCCTCCGTCAGGCTTTGGGGAATGAAGAGGAGGCACACGAGGTCCGGATTAGGCAAGAAACAAGCAGATGACTGGGTGACCTGAGTGGGGGCCAGATGACTCATGTCTCAGGCATTCTAGTGTCGCGTCCAAAATTCAGATTCATGCGGCAGACACTTGCTGGTGACCTTCTGCACGCCAGGCAGGGCTAGGGTTAGGGTGAGGCACGCAGGCGTCTAGGACACAGAATTCAGAGAGGCGCTCATTCCTGGAGTCATTCGAATGCCACATGTGCCAGATCCATGTGAGCACCTCCTCAGATCCTGCACCCCAGGTTCCTTGCTTGCCTCACCCAAGTCCTGGCCCTGAATATCATTTCAACCTCGTAACTCCACGAGACAAGTACCATATATGTCAGTTAGGATATTTTTGATTGAGTTGCAAGTGATAGAAAACCCAGCTTGTGCTGTTTTAAGCAAAAGGGGAGTTTATTGGGTCACGTACGCTGAAAGGTGCGTGGCCACACTGGCTTCAGGAGCAGCTTGATCCAGCATCCAGTTGATGTCACTTGGATCCATCCCAGGTCTTCCTTGGGGTGGGCTCCCTTCTTGGTCTGTCTCTCCCCTCATGATTGTAAGCGGCTGCCAGGACCTCATCCTTCAGGGCTGACATGTAGCAGAGAGAAGTGAGAATCTGTGACCCAGCATTTTCCATCTGAATCTTATTGCATCTCGTTGGATTTTGCTGGATCCTGTGCTTGCTTCTGAACAATCACTGTGGCCTGGGAATGCCGTGCATGATTGATTCAGGCCTGGATCGCAGGGTTTACTCCTGAGCCGAGGATGGAGTCAACAACAAAGCACATGAGCCGGGAGTGCGGAAGGTAGTGGTCGCCTAGAGGGAAACTGAGGGGACTTTATCAGGAGAAGAGTGAACGGATACTGGGCGGGAAGACAACAAGTGTCCACCACACTGCTCTTCATCACACCATTTTATAGTTAGGGAGGTGAAAGCTCAGACAGGGTAAGTCACTTGCCTGAGGCCACACAGCAGAGTAAGTGGAATTGCTGAGATTCAAACCCCTTGTTTTGACCTTCCTGTTCTTCCCACTCCCTGGGCTGTCTCCCACTTCTTCTACGGGATCATAAACTCTGTGAGGTCGAGGGCCCCGTCTCCCCTGTGGCACTGGCATCAAACCTTAAAGAGAGCAGGCACTGAACGACAGAATTCACGCTGCAGAGTCAGAACACGGCGTAGGAGGCCTCATCTCCAGGTGCCCGCGCCAAGCCTCAGAGAACAGCGGGTGCTGGGTGATAGAAACCACAATTCCATCCAACAAAGAGTCCAGTCGCAAAAATCTCAGGCTTACATTAAATTCTAAACCCGGGTTCTAGCGGCCTGCCCCCTTTTTCCGTTTTGTAGTAATTTTTCACTTCTTTCCAAGGATTGCTGAGGCGGCGAATTACCAAGACTGCCTGCTGTCGGCCACCAGCTTCCTCATCTCCCTGGAGGTGTCCCCGCCGCCCGCGCTCTCCCGGAACCTGTCGGGCTCCCCGCTGGTCACCGTCCGTCTCAGGCACAAGCTGGTGAGTCCCGGCGAGTTCTCCGTGTTTCTGTCCTTTGATGTGGTTTCGCACGGAGGGGGATCTGTTGTCTGTATATGAATCTCAGACGGCGTTGGTGCTGCCCAAGTTGGCTTTTTCTCTCCCGAGAGTTCCTTCTCTGGGGATTATTTCTGGTGGCTCTCAGGATTGGTCTCATGGTGTGGACGTTGTGTAAAAAGGCCCTGGAGACTGGAGGGGGCTCCCAGAGGTGCGTGTGCAGGGCCCGTGGGTATTTCTGATTTACAGTAAATGTTCTTTGTGGAGGAGGGGCATAAATCGGCCGGTTTTTGTTTATCTTGATAACAGCCGTTATTGAGATGAAGAACTTTGTTCTCTCTGAGAAACACTGTAGAGCCCAGAATGGACCATTTTTTCACTTTTGTTCTGAGTGATGACTGTTGATCCTGCCACATCGTGGCTGTGGCTCCCGAGCGCTCACTGTGTCTGTGTCAGCAGAAGGAATGACGAGGGTATGGGGACACAGATGTGCTACGCCCTTTGAAGAAGTGCGGCTTTTCCTGTGCCAGGATTATGGCCTGAGATATGGTGTTCCTTCAGCACCTGAGGGTTGTGATTTTTCAAGGAATTTATTAAAGAACTGGAGATATTTTTGGTCGTTTGAAGTCATGCTAAACACATTCCCTCCAGGATTTCCATTCCGTCCTGCTCTATCCCGTTCCAGCAACATTGACTGAAGGCCCACCGTGTGCTGGCCCCGTGTTCGGAGCCTCTCTTATGGTCCACGTGTAATTGTCTCTTCATCCCCTCCTCAGAGCAGACGTGGAGGCGCGTCAGGACATCCTTAGTCTCCCTGCAGCCCCTGGCTCCCCTGCCCACACCCCTCCGTCCCCACACGTTCGAGCCCCTTCTTGGTTCCCTGAGAACCCAATGGGCTACCCACATCTTTGGCCGTGTCCACATTCTCTGTGCCCCCAGGCAGCTCCACGGACCACTTTCACCCTTCCCTCTCACTGGTCTCTCACCGGCCCTCTCGTCATTCCCTCCTTTCTTGGGGAAAGATGTTTTCCTCCTCTTTTTCAGAGCTAACCTTTCTTCAAGAACTTTCCTTCCCCTCTGCCTCCCTCGGGCCCTGAGCTCTCTGTGGGTTCCATCCCTCCCTCTCCACCAATCCTTTCCATCTGCCTGCAAACAGTTCCCACCTGAGAATGCCCCCATCACCCTCTCTTTCTCTCTCTTTTTGAAAATCACAAAACATTAAAAAATTTTTTTTAATTGTCGTAAAATATACATAACATAAAATTTACCATGCTAACCATTTTTAAGTGTACAGTTCAGTGGCATCAGGTACATTGACGTTGTTGTACAGCCATCACCGCCATCCATCTCCAGAACTATTTTCATCTTATAAAACTGAAACTCTGCCCCTGTTAAACACCCACCCCCCCTCCCCTCCCAGCCCCTGGTGCCCACCTTCTACTTTCTCTCTCTTTGGATTTGACTCCTCTAGGGACTTCCTATGAGTGGAATCATAGAGCGTTTGTCTTTTTGTGACTGGCTGATTTCACTTGGCATCGTGTCCTCAAGGCTCATCTATGTTGTAGTGTGTGTGTCAGAATTTCCTCCTTTTTAAGGCTAAATAATATTCCATTTTCATATCCATCAAGTATATGTTTTCTGTGTGGACCACATCTTGTTCATCCACCCGTCTATCGATGGACACTTGGGGGCTCCCACCTTTTGGCTCTCGTGAGTAACGCTGCCGTGAACATGGGTGTGCAGATATCTCTTCAAGACCTGCTTTCAGTCCTTTTGGGTGTGTACCCAGAAGTGGCATGGCTGGGTCACAGGTTCTAGGGGTCTGCAGTGTGAGACTGTGCCTCTGCGCTCTTTGAACTACTGAAAATCGATTTTCAAACCGCAAAACTGTTCTCAAGTGTCCAGAGACCTCGGCTTCCCCAGGCCAGGGCCCCTCCCTTTTCGATCTCCCTTGTCTTTGATGCGTGGACAGCATCAGACCCCGTTGACGCCCGTGCGCCCCACAGGGCCTGTCCCCACCCCACAGGACACGTCTCTCCCCAGCCCACCACCGTCCCTGACGGCCCCGTGTCCACTGCATCCCCACACCAGGTATTCCTTGAGCTCCTCTGCATGGATGTTTACTTCTCTAAATTCGTGGAAATGCCGTGATTTCAGCCACCACCTCCATACAGGTGTCACTGGTGACCACAGCCACGTCTTCCCCTTGGCCTCCACCCTGAGCTCCTGTTTCCAGGCTCCAGATGCCCAGCGTGGGCACGTCCCCCACGCCTGCTCTTCCTCTGTGCCCTGTCTTCCTCCCCTCTGGAGCCTTGGTGCCATCCTGGGTTCCTGGTCTTTGCGCTCTTCGCAGGACCAGCTGTGACCTTACTTTCAGAGTGTTCCTCGCACGTGCCGCCTCCCTCAATCCCTCCCCTGCTGCAGAGGCTTCTTGCTAATCTGGTTCTGCCAGGGCTAGAAGCTTCCTGCCTGTTCTCCCTGCTTCATTCTCAGCAGGTTCCCAGACTCACCTTCCAGGAACACAGACCAGGCGGTCTTACTCACCTATTTAAAATCTTTCAGAGACTCAGGTTTCCCTGAGGAAAGATTTAAACTCTGGGCCTGACGGTCAGACCTCTAGTGGACCCTTCCAATCCCACTTTCCACAGGAGCCTTCCTCCAGCGGAGTGAAACTCTCGCTGTCCTTCGAAGTCCCAGGCCCGGCTGGCCACTCCGTCTTTGTGTGTGCCCCTGTCCTAGTCTGGAAGGCCTTACCCCCACGTCTCTGGGGCCCAGCCCACCACCTCTGCCGAGCCCTCGCTGGTCTTCCCAGACAAGAGCGCCCCTTCCTCCCCGCCGTCCTTGCACTCTACTGGTACCACGTCCGAGGACTGTATGTTACAATTATTTGTGCAAATCGACAATCTCTTCAGCCAGCCTGTGTGTTTCTTGAGAAGCTGCCCCGGACCTAGTGTAGAATCATTTATCCTTTCCTCACAAAAGCCTTGCATTGAGCTCTGGCACAGAGCAGGGGCTCAATAAACATTTGTGGATTGGATGTTGAGCGGTCAGCCGCAGCATATATGCAGCCTTGCCCCAGAGCTGTGTTGTTGTTTGTTTGTATTTGTGTGACTTCTCGTTCTATGGAGGGAATGCTCGTCGCTGGGGCGGAGGCCTGTCCTCTGCTACCTTTGTGAGAATGCCACTAAGCAGGAGGATGAGCTCTGTGGGCTCAGCTGTGTTGGAAATTTGGTTCTAGCATGAGGCAGAGGCTTTTTTAGTGCTTCTACAGTGAGAGTGCTATAATGTGGCACGGAGCTAGTGCAGGTCTGTCATCAGGGTGTAGGAAGGCAGAGAAGGCTTCTCTTGAGAGACTCTGGAGCTGGTGTGTGTTTGAGCCGGAAGTTGCCTGGTGAAGGGGGAACCTGTGGGTCACAGCAGATGTCGGGGCCGGGCTGTGCCTGGGCTGGGGGTGCTGGGGAGCGGGTCCTGAGGCTGAGGCATGAGACGGCGCAGGAAGGGGAGGGAGGTGCTGAGGGTGGAAGACTCGTGGCTCAAATGCTGGGCTTTGTGGTGTCCAAACACCCAGTGCGTTCACGCGTGCACATATGTGCCCACACGCACGTACCCACAGACACACACACACCAGACCCAGCACGCGCACGCACACACACACGCACACCCCATCCTTGTGAGACCAGGCTGGTGTGAGCCTTGGAGTCTGAAGAGTGGGAAGTGATTTTGTTTTATTACCGTGGTTCCCTCCCGTCGCCCTCTGAGGGGGACTGTCTCTAGGGACTTGACTGTCAGGACCCCTCATCTGCTCTCCCACCCAGGCAGCCCATCCCTCCGCGGTTCCCCTTCCTCAAAACGGGGCTGCCCCACCTTCTGCCCCACAGAACCCTCGCCTCCCCCACCATCCCCCCATGACCCTGCTGCAGAACACCCTTCCCCGCGATGCCGCCCCATCCAAACTGTACTTTAGAGGGTGGGTCCTTCTAGAGCCTTCCAAGGAGACTTTTCAACCAAGGAGACAAAAACTGACGCGGTGCCGCGGGTCAGTGGGCCTGCTCACTGGTCTTCCTACTCAGCCCGTTTCTTCGGTGATGTTCTGCCATCCGTTTATCTCATGCCATGAGGATCCCTATGTTAAAAAAACAATCTCGGGCCGGCCCTAATGGCCTGGTGGTTAAGCTCAGTGCACTCCGCCTCTGCAACCCGGGTTCGGTTCCCGGATGCGGACCTACACCGCTCTGTTAGCAGCCATGCTGTGCTGGTGGTCCACAAACTAAAAAATAGAGGAAGATTGGCACGGATGTTAGCTCAGGGCGAATTTTCCTCAACAAAAACAAAAAAACCCGAAAAAAACCAAACTCATTATTTTCTTAGGAAACCAACTCGAGTCAGTTACTGGTCCAAAAAAAGAAAAAAACAAACCAGAGTCCTCTCGCCTGATACCGAGGGGCTTTGCTTTGAGACCCCAGTGCTCGTTATGGTTCCATGTGGGCCTGCGGGCGGGACCGGGTCAGACAGATGGTGACGGCCAGCGTGGCGGGGCTCCTGCTCTCTAAGCGTCTTGTTCAGAACCTCCTGGCACTGAGCCCTCACATCAGAGCCCGGTATTCAGACGCCATCGCAGTGTGTTGCTATTTTTATATTCTTTGCTCCCCAAACCATCAATAATCCAGCTTCTGACCCCTGTCCCCTGGCCGACCCCAGTGGTGCCGATTGGAGGCGTTGGCCTCTGCCGACCGGCTCCTGGTGCTCCTCCCAGCGTCCTGTCCGGCTCCGGCGAGCCTGTCGAGCTGCGACCTTTCCCAGCTCAGACCACGCACTGGGCAGTGCGGTGGCTGGTTAGATGCTGTTTCGATCGACTGTCCAGTTGAGGGGGATGGAAACGGAGAGCAGACCACACCGCCCCTGAGACGTTACCAAGGGCCCCGGCCCGAGTCTATAGGCAGATCCCCGCCGTGCTTGCTCTCCCGGTAGCAGGTGCCAGAGTCGTCTGACTTGAAGACGGGCCAGAAATTGCGGTGTTCTGGTCAGTGAAAATTGCTCACAGCATTTAATCAGAATCAAGATTGAACTGTCACCTGTCTCTGGTCAATGAAAATGAAAACTGCTTCCCTAGAAGGAGGCAAGGCCCGAGAGAAGTGGATTCTTTGGAAACTTTGAGAACTAGAAAACCAAAAATAAGTATCTCCAGGAGCTAAGTGCTGTCAGTTTTGATTGCTGTTGTCTAGAGTTCATTCATCAAACGGGCTTTTGCGCATACAACTTTCAATCGCACAGACAGGCCATCAGTCAGGACTGTCACAACGTTTGGAAGGCATTGAGTCCAACGACGGTCCTGGCTGATGTTCCAGCAGGAGGACTCCAGGAACTGTCCCAAATGGAAGGTCGCCCCTTGTGCACGTTCTGACATCACCCCTGGGGACCGAGCTGGGTGCAGCGACAGGACGTGGTCAGAGCACAGGCTGTGCCGTCTGCAGAGACGTGGGGGCTCCGGCTTGTGACTGCCCCGCACCCCTCAGCAGTGAGCCAGCGGGAGCTGCCGCGGCTGCCATGCAGGGGGAAGCCAGGCAGGGCTGGGGACATCGGTCACTGGCTCAGAGGCTCCAGGTAGAGTGGCTGCTTTGCCATTCACAGTGGGAACCTGGTGTGGAAGGGACTGGAGTTGCCCATCTGCAGTCGTTTCAGAGTAAGAGCGATGTAGGCAGTAGTGAAGAAACATCTGCATCATGAAAGGATGAGAGGTGAACACGAGGGTGTGATTTGTCCTCCACGTGCTTGCTCATCCGCTCACACATTCAGTCGTTCGTTTATTCCGCATATCTCAGCTGAGTGACCTCGGGGGTGCGATCAGCCCTCTGCCTCCATTTGGATGTTGGGAAGATGGGGTCATAACACTTGCCATGGGTTAGTCGGCTCTTGTTCAGTTTGTGTGCTTCGTTACCAGAACAGAAACCAACGTTGGCTAACTTTAGCAAAGAGGGTGTTCCAGAAGGACACCTCGTAGCTCACAGGATTGAGGGGCACTCAGCTCACGGTGGTCGGGGCCAGGCGGGGGCTGGTGGTGTCAGTTCAGCCCTGCGAGGTGAGTGGGTGCTGCCTCTGTGTCTGTGCCTGTGTCCCCTATTCAAGACGCAAAGCCCCAGGAGAGAGCGAGGGTGTCAGTTGGCCTGTGTGGGTCGTGTGCCCACCCAGAGGGTCGTGGGGATGTAGGTTTAGATCCCCTGGGATCACACATGTGGGGCTGGGACCTGAGGGAGGAACGCCTGCCGAGGGCATGCACCATGCACCATGACAACTGCCCCGTGTAAATGTGAGATGCAGCTCCCCAAGCTGTGGACCACGCATACCAGAAGCACCGACAAATTCTATAACCCAGACTTCCATCTGAGTCTCAAAGATGTCCGTGGTGCTTGTGGACAAGGCTCCGAGGGCAGCCTCCGGCTCCCTCCTGTGGAGTGCTGGGTCCCGGTGCCTCCAGGATCTGGCACTTTCTCAAAACCAGGTGCTGCATTCCGGCGGGGCTCAGCGGGCCGGGCCTGGAGCCACGCAGCGTGAGAACGTGTCGTCGGGCATGGGTGCTTTTGGTCCCGAGGTTCAGAGTGTGTGATCCAGCTTCCTCAGGGGTATTGCCACAACTTCTAATTTTTGAAGGGAAGCCATAAATCTGGATTTAAAATTATATGTCTGGATTTGTATTGTTGGCAGCTAATTCAAATTTGCTTTTAACATTGTCAGCCAAAATATATCTGTGAGTTGAATTCGGCCAGTAGGTCACCAGTTTACAACCTCTGTTTTTTTAATCTTTTTATTTGAAATGATTTTAAACTTAAAGAAGAATTGCAAAATAGGACAGATTTCCTATCTTATCCTCATGTTAATCTTTTAAAGTCCAATTATTGAAACCAGGAAGTTAGCGGTGATATTAACTAATTTAGAGCCGTGTTTTGAATGTCTTCGGTTTTCCCATTTAGGGTTTTCGTGTCCAGGCTCTCATAGGGCTCTCACAGCATTCGTGTCTCCCTGGCTCCTCCTGTCCGTGAGGCTCTTCAGCCTCTCTGTCTTTCATGACCGTGACACTTTGAAGAGTCCAGGCCAGTTGTTTTACAGAACATCCCTCAACTTGGGGTCGTCTGAGGTTTTCTCAGGATTAGATGGAGCAGATGAGTCTTTGACAAGAAGTGAGATTGTGCCTTTCTAATTGCATCATATCAGGCCTTCTTGGTCTCCTGGGGCTGCCATAACAAAGTCCCACAAATGGTGCAGCTTAGACCACAGACATTTATTCCTTGCAGTTCTAGAGGCTGGAAGTCCGAGATCCAGGTGTTGGCGGGTTGGTTCCTCCTGAGGCCTCTCTCTGTGGTGTGTAGACGGCTGTCTTCTCTCTCTGTGTCCTCATGTGGTTGTCCCTCTGTGAGTGTCTGTGTCCTGATCTTCTCTTCTTATGAGGACATCAGTTCTATTGGATTAGGGCCCACCGGTATGGCCTCATTTACCTTACTCACCTCTTTAAGGTGAGTTAAAGGACCCCATCTCCAAATACAGTCCCATCCTGAGGTCCTGGGGGTTAGGACTCCAGCATATGAATTTGGGGGTTGGGGGACACAATTCTGTCTGTAACACAGTCTGTATAGGATGTTGTTTATTATCACTGGCAATGCTCACTGTGATCACTTGGCCGAGGTGGTGTCTGCCAGGTTTATCCACTAAAAGAAGTTATTGTTTTTCTCTTTGCAGATTATAAGTGTCTTGTGGGGGAGATACCATGAAACAACACACCATACTTTATCTCATTTCTCTTTACCCTTTATTTCTCCACGAATTTTAGCTTCCACTGATGGCTGCTGCCTGCAAAATGATTACTGTGGTGTTTGCCTAATGGTGATTTTGTATTTCCATCATTCCTTCTGCATTTGTTAATTGGAATTCTAAGACAAGGACAAATTGTTATTCATATATTCAGTTAGTTATTTATATCAATATGGCTCGGGTATTTACGTCATTCCACAGGTTGTAATCCAGTGCTATCATTATGTATTTTCTTGCTCAAATTGTCCTCGCTTTGACCATTGGGAGCTCTCCCCCGTTGGCTCCTGTGTCCCTTTGATATATCTTCCTCGTTTTTTGAGTCCTTCCTTACTTTCTGGCATTAAAGATAGTCTAGGTTCATGGAATCAACTGTTTCTCCAAGGAGCCCTCGTTCGTTTTGTTGGAGAATGGTGTTTAGAAACCAGGATCTGGGGTGCTCATTGCTACTTGGGTGTCACTGCTTCTCGATCCTCCGAGCAGACAGAGCTGAGAATATACGTGTGTACTCACACAAGCAAACACACACATCTATATGTTTATCTGTATCTATCCATCTGCACGTGTGTGCGTGTGTGTGTTAAAAAATGTGAGTTCATTCTGACAGCCGGTTCCAATCTGAGACAGCTGGATTCATTGGATTCATTTCCTTATGCCTTTCTTTCTCTAAAAGTTAGAAACCTGGCCCTCATTATTCTCAATACTTATCTGTTTGAGCCCGGTACACATGTAGAGGAGTTCCAGAATTGCTAACCCACACCCCTGTGGGAGCAGAGGCGCTCACTGGAGGACAGTATTTGTTCAGTCTCTTCGTCTTCACCTTATACTGTGCAGTTGAAATGCCGTTCTCCAAAGTTACCTAGGTTGGTTCTTTTCTTCCCCATTCCCTTCAGAGGGTTTTATTAGTCATTTATGATACCGTTAGATTCCCTGTGGTTGTTTGTATTCCACTGTGGGTACACCACAATTCTAGTCTGTTACATAGTCCTGAGGGTCAAGTCTACACAGGCAGGTGTGCTCAGAGGAGTGGTGCCTCTCTACCCGCCCCCCCCCCCAGCTTGCCTCCCTCGTTCTTTCCACTCCCTCCCCACCCATGCCCTCTAGGTAAGCAGTGCTCTTAGTTTCTGGTTTTTCCTTTCTGTCTTTCTTTTGTGTCAAAGGACTAGATACACATATGTTTTCTCACATCTCCTTCTTTCTTCCACGAAGCGTAGTGTGCTATTCTGCACCTTGAAGTTTTTTCACTTCACAGTGTATCCTGGAAGTCAATCTAAACCAGTTCATGGAGATCATCCACATTTTTTACAGCTGCATAGTACTCCACTGGGTGGATTTACTCAACCATCATGTGGTTTATTCAAATCCTCTTCTGCATATGGAATTTGAGTTGCTTCCAATATTTCACAATTACCATTTGTTGGAGTGAATGACTCTGTGTGTCTGTATTTTCCTGTTGTGAGAGGTAGAGCCTCTATTCTTGGTTCTCCAGAAAGCTTGTGTCTATTTGCAAATGGACCCCTCCCCGGGGCCTGCTTCCTTCCTCCCTTGTTTTGCCCTCTGGCATGCTCAGGGGCCATGGAGTGACAACAGCAAAGAGAATGAGAAGAACGTCAGTCTCTACAAATGAGACCACTCTGAGAACGATGCTTCTAGCCAGATGCCTTCCCCTTGACCTCTCCTGTGATCCATGTGTGTGTTTAACTCAGTTCTGGAGATAGAGCGTCACGAGCTGTCAACCACAGGGGCTACAGAATGGACCTTACAGACTGAACATCTCCCTACCGGTATCATCCAGATGAATAGTGGTTTGGGGAGTAGCTAAGCCTAGAATTAGCCGCCCCCGAATGACAGCCCATTCCTGCCCCACAGCGGGGAGGCCCAGGGAAGGGGTGGGTGAAGGAAACAGGTGCAGACAGCTCTGCTGGCCGGGTGAGCCCGTGTTCTCTGTGACCCGGGTCCTGGCTGGACAGAGGTGGGGAATGGCCTCAAGTGGTGTTGAAAGCCGCTAGGTTTCAGGCATGGCTGGCACATCTGCATCTGATGAAATGGAGTGTTTCTGTGCTTTTGGAAATGCATTTTTTTCCCCCTAAGGACACGGCTCAGCCTTCCAGACAGGAGAACCTAAGGAGAGAGTGTTCAGAGGGGCATCTCTTTGTTCAAGAAGGTTCTGA